TATATAGGCTGATGTCTGGGCCTTTAGAACCTGCCCAAATGACAAGACCCCCAAGAACATTAGCAATGCTACTAGCATCAGAAGATTGGTTTGTGTATAAATGTACTAGGAAAGGACACATAAGCCTTAATATTAAAGTAGTTTCACACACTGCTGAGCAACTTCACTGCAAACCAAAAGCGGCAACAAAAACATGCTTTTGCTGTATGACACAGAAGCATCTCAGTCTCCTCAAGCTTTTATTTTTGCAACTTTAATGGAAGAGGTTTATGTGTAAAGAGAAATTAGCATGAAGAGACCACACGATTCACAATGATAACCCTTGAGGAGGCCAGATCTCTTCTGTGAGCATGGTCCTCAGCTAAAAATGGCTTGAAGCTGAAAGAAGCATCTTTATGAAGGACAATTTACTAGTGACACAAAGTAGCAAAAGTAAATTCAGAACCAACATTCAGAGCAACTGACAGAGACAAGGGAAACAGGAGCAAAACTGTAAGTTCAGAAAACATATCAATTTATATTCTAAGCATGCCAGGCTTGGGGCACAAGGGACTCCCAGCATTTGCAGGCACTATTCCCCTCACTGCTCCAGTCCTGCTTTCTGCTGCCCTGAAACTTTTCTGTCTTTGAGAAAGGACCAGCAATGCCTCTTTTCCATCAGCTCTCCTCACTAGCAAAATTTTCCCTGATGACCAGGAAGTATAGATTCTGCATTAGACTCCGGGGGACTTTTCTTATGCACTTCTCTATTTATCTCTTATATGCTTGTTAATCTTTTATCCTCTTATGTCAAAGTTCAAGGAGGTATTGGACTATACATAATACACTTGTGTACAGACTAGCCCAGCAGCCTATAAACCACAATCATAGAACTTTGCATATTTCAAGTCCATTTCAATAAAATTACTAACCTAGTTAAAATTACCTTTGCTCAGCATCAATGGCAATCCTTGTGGGACGACCAGCATCTCTTAGAAGAACTCGGCGTTTCTTCCCATTCATGTCTGTTGCTTCTATGGTTGCTTTCTGTCTATTGGCCCAGAGAATGTCTTGATTTATCCAGTCAATAGCAAATCCTGAAATGCCTTTGTCTATGTAACACAGTCTCTGAAAAAAAAAAAAAAAAAAAAAATTGACAAGAAGAAGCATGCTAATAACTACCCTAAACTCAACTTCCAGTATAGGGAATAGAGTGCTAGACTGAAGCTTTCCATTTTATTCCTTCACCCGCTTCATTTTCTCTCAGACCTGTAGATATTTCTCTTTCTTATTCTTTAATCACTTTTATCTGGTCTTTGTACTTACATATACCCCTTCTGAACTGAGTGACGCCCTGGTGAAAGGGGAAACCATTCTCCATGAGAAATACACTGGACTAATCTTTAGCCACAACTTCTTGCATCTGGCACTCTGTGAAGCACCCAGACCTGCACATTACAGATAGAAGACTTCCTAACACACTGTTGCTGGGCCTGATCCTTAAAAATCAGCGTTACATACATCAGTGAGGACTCCACTGGAAATCTCTCCCAAACAAAACAAGGCTCTCCCAGCATTAAGGTTCAGCCACAACAGCCTCTCTGCCCTTCTTAATCAGCCAGATGCACTGAACTGCACAGCTTTTTCTGAACAAAGGATGAAGTGCTAAAAGAAGCATTTATGCAACCATAGAAACCAACAAAAGGTTTGAGAAAAAATGAGCAGGAATTCAAGCACATTCTTCTCATACCATTTGTGCCAGTCTGAGTTACAGTAATCTGGAAGACAAACTTCCACAATGCCAGGGTTTAATTTAAAACTGATAGAAACATTACTGTCTTCAAAGCTTTAGTTTGTCCGAATTTACCCTCCTTCATTTTTAACCTCACTTCACTTGATCCACAGAAAATACTAATTGTGCTGTGAATGCCAGTAAAACAGCCTAGGCTCAGGACCGTAACTATCACGACAGTAAAAACTATTTAACATATCTGAAGTGCTAATCAATGACCAGAAATAGCAGAATTGTACCTGAAGAGCAGGTGTTTTCCATTAAGGGTTTTGTGCCCATTAACTTGGAGAATACCAGAGAATTGATTCCTTTACCTCTCGTTCTGTGCCATTCAGGTGAATTCTTTGAAGCAGTCGCCTTTCAGAGTCTACCCAATACACCTTCTCTTCTTTATAATGAAAATCCATAAGCGTTGAGTGGCCAGTATCAGCCACCAATCTTTCGTGGTTGGTCCCTTCCGTGTCAATTCTAAAGATGGCACTTCCATGGCTAAAAAGTAAGAATGGTGCAGGGTCTGGTGTGAAGAAAACAAAAAGAGACCCATTAATAGATAAGCATAGCACTTCCATTGCATTAAGTTCTCATCAGTATTGTACTAGCCAAAGAGAAAGTTCAGGACCTCATCACCTCTCTTGTATTTTCTTAGAATCATAGAATGGTTTGGGTGGGAAGGAACCTTAGAGATCATCTAGTTCCAACCCACCCTGCTATGGGGGAAGGAAAGGAGTTTTTATGTAACAGTCATATTTCAGCCTTCATTTTAAAAATAAATGGCTTTCTTTTTCTAATTAAAAAAAAAAAAATAGGGGGTATATAGCCTAGTCTTTAATTTACCACTAAAACAACATTCAAAGAAAGCCCATTGTGGTGGTAATGGTGGGGATTTATGACATGGTTGCCTGAAACAACAGATCATGGCAGAAAAGTAGTGCTCTAACCAAGTGACTTTGAAATGAAATTATTGATATAGATCCAACACAATAACAGCTTTCAAGTCTGTCTAATCACTTGTTGAATTGATCTTACTGCAATGCAGAGCAACTCTCCATTTATCAGGGACGGATGTCGTCAAAGATGCACTATCATCAGTTTTCTTGCACATATACTTTTGAAAATTAAACTGGTTTTACTGACCAGTTTTGCAGCCTTTTAGCTAAACATCTTTACTATTAGGATGAAACCTGAGGCTTTTAAACTCAACAGGCATCACTTCCACAAACTTTAGCCAGATGCTCCACCTTCATCACGGTTGTAAGGTTGTTTGATTCAACCCCTTTCACAGCAGGGAAATGAGACCAATTCTGACTTCCCCAAGCAAAGAGCAAGTCAGGCAGAATGTTCTGACGGCATCTTCCGTTCACAAGGAAGATGTTCAGCACTCTGTTTCTATACTAACAGACTGTTTTGTATCTCAAATTTTCAAGCTATCACCCAGTTATAACAGCTGCTTCTAGGATTTTAGCGACTGCCTTTTTCTGCTGCTATTTGCACTGAGCAACCCCATGTGAGAATATTTAAACTATGAAGACTTGCTTTACATAAATGGTAAATGACCAGTGAAGTGTAGCGAGGTTGATTTATCTCAGGAATTTGACAGCTGTACTGCCTGCATTTTTGCCAATTTGTTGACCAAGAGCATTTATATACTTTGTTTTTGTCCTTTCCACTGTCTGAATTTCCTATCAGGCTCCCACGAATGAGGGCTGTAAACGGAACAGGGACCCAACAAATCTAATTTTGATTGCAGAGGCACCAGTCAGATTTGAGACTTAATTTTATCAGGGGTTTAATGAACAGGTAAGCAACACCTGCATTGAAGAGCTTCCTGTCTTTAAAACATGAGGGTATTTCACTTGGTTTACCCGCTACAGAAGTGTTTTTACTTAGCACAAGGGTTGCTCATCCATCACACTTGCTCCTGAACCATCACTCACTTTCTACTGTTGTTATAAATGTTAAGAATAATGTTAAAATAGTTTAAGCCGGGCTTGGTTCACTTTGAAAAACAACACTAACCAAATCTCTAAAGCTCTTTTAGTCACCACAAAAGAAAATGACCTTACCGTTCACATAGCAAGAGCGTTTGTCAATATCCAAAGTGTAGCCAGGCAAACAGGAGCAGATGTAGGACCCTGGCACATTGACACAGGTCTGGCCACAGGTTCCCAAACCACCTTCAAGGCATTCATCGATATCTGAAACGTTTTTGAACAGATCAGGAAAATTCAGCTAGCAAAAACAGCAAGGAGCAGAGAGAAAGAACACCCTTGACATAGTTATGTAATAACAAATTGGTCACAAAATTTACTATCCCATCATTAAAAAAGAAGAGGAGGATTGGATGTATTGCTTCATGCATGGGTTTCACAATTATTGTTTTGCCTGTTGTCACATGCATAGTAATTTTTATTTTTTTTTTTTTTTAGAAGACTGTCCAGGGAAATTACCATTTTCGCTAGAGTCTGGGCACTGTGGTCTCTGATCGCCCCAGCACAGGGAACACTCTTGTCTCGTACTCCATTTCTGTGATTTGCATTATCATTTGCTATGCAAATCCTGCCTGCAACTGCTTCCACAGTAATGATTTTGCCAACAAATTAACAAACTTCGCAAAACAGCAAAGCAGCAGACAGACTGCCACAGCACTGAGTTCCCCATTGAGCTCAATTTAATTTGAGTCAACTCTCAAAAATACATATAAAACACTAAAAACCCCGCTATATTCTGACAGCAACAAGCCCAAACCAAGGTAAAAAGCAAACTAATTAGAAGTTTGGCTTTTAACTGGTAGATTAGGCTAGAGCCTTTAGGAATTAAAAGACATTTGATGTAATTTTGGTGTTTTATCAGGGCTTGAGGCAGTAACTGTTATTTAAATCCTAAATTAAGGACTTTTATTTTTCAAAAAAAAAGGTCACCACTGAGGAGCATATTTTACACTAAGGGAGAAAGAAATTAACCCTTTTGGCAGTACCATGGATGGTTGTCCCAGAAAATTTAGATATGCTTCAGTTCCTACTTCCCAAGGTGCTTGACACCTGGCAGTACCATATCCTGATATTTTTCTTGTATAACCACTGTGAGGGTTGCTCTAAGGGGCTGCTTTTTCCATGCCCAAGATCTATTTGATGTCACTGGCTTTTGTTCTGGGTTTTACTGTCTGACTTATTGACTGAATGTCAATGCTTTACAGCCACCTAAGATGTCTGTACAGACTAGGGAATGTTTCCATATTTTTTTCAGACTTTTCCCACAACATTGTGTTCCACACAGCAGATTAACTAGTTACGACATGTAATCAGAGCAACTGATTTCTGTTGAACAAATTATGAAGGTAAAGCAGAAGCATTTTCAGGAACTTAATTCCATAAAGCATTCTAATTCTAACCCACAATCTCATTCAAACAATCACCTTTCAGGAGCATATCTCCCCATGCATACGAAGGATGTACATTGCATTCTCCTCAGCGTTAAAGGAGTAACTCCTCCAAACCCCCTCTAGAAAGGCTGGACTGGCTTAGAAGTTTGCTAATGGGCTACAGAAACCATGAGCTCCAGGTTGCCAGTTTAAAACTAGCTATACCTGGCAAACATTGCCTGGACGTCATTAAAACTAACGGGCTCTTTAACCCATATGGAGGGCTTTGGTGACCTCAGCTCGCTGTCACAGCTGCCGTCAGTGTTAGCAGAGATGTGAAGGAGTCTGCAGGCTGAACACTGTTTGTATCTGTCCCTGATGCACTGGTTTTCAAATGGAATAACTGGCTGACTAACCCAGACAGTTAATCTGATCTAGTCACCAGTACAAAAGCAGGTGCAGCACTCTGTTGATAAAGGCTGTAATGCAGTTCATGTTAGTCAATGTACATTTATTACACTAGTGGCTTGTTAAATAAACCTGATGTTATTCCTCTGAGGAAATAACAAGTATGGGTGATAAAGTGTACATGTAAAATTGCTAAAGACAGAGGTCATTTGACTAAGCAATGTGAAACACTGATGAAAGAACTATTATTCAACCACAATAAAGAGCACATTAAATAAGAATACGAAAGACAGGCCTGACCTACAGATTGTATCTGGAAGACTGCTTCCTCTGAAAAGGATCTGTGTTCACGCTGAACAGAAAGCTGACCTGTTAGCATGTCACGGGGCAAGAAAATTTAAATCACAACACATACGAACACAGGAGAAATTAATGACAGTGGGGAAATAATTTTACTTCTCTATATGGCAGTGGTTAGGCTACACTGGCATACTGTTTGTATTTCTCAAATATACATAGATTTCTCAGGTTTTTAAAGGATCTTGAAAAACAGAAAGTGTATACAACAAGGATAAAATCCTGATTTGAGGGTAAGGAAAAGTGCCTTTCTGGAAGGCTCTTAGAGAACTCAGTCTCTTTAGATTATCAGGAAGAAGCTTGGGAGAAGGACTGATCACAGTATATAAATACCTTCATAAAGAAAAAGTATCAGATTTGTTAAAGGACACTATAATCTTTTGCAGGAAAGATTTAACAAGGACTGATGGCTGAGAACTGAAGCCAGGGATCAAATTTAGACACTAAATTAACATTTTAACAGGAAGTGTGATTCACTGAGGGAACCAGCTACCAAGAGAAACTGTGAAGGTGTGAAAACCATCAGTGGACATTCTCAAGTCAAGATCAGACTGGGAAGAGATGTTTTAACCAAGCACGGGTTACTGAGCTTTGTACGAAGGTAACTGGACAACGACCTGTTATTTACAGGAAGGATTTTCCAGCTTTATGCGAGTGTACAGACCTGACCATACAAGAAAGAGCATGCCGATTGACCAGGCTACAAGAATTCACCCCACCTCCCCAGTCATTGTACTCCAAGAGAGGATTTCAGGGTTCTCAATCTTCCCATTTTCATCACCACCAAAGTTCACATCATAAAGCAAATCCCACGCATACTGAAAAGGCAGCAATCGCCCCCGCTGAAGAAGGGGAAGGGCTATAGTGGGAGAATAACCACCCAATAAAAGACAAGGGGTGCAGTGGCGACGGGCGGCTCGGCCACCGGCGAATGCCCCTGCCAAGGGTAAACAGGAAGCACCAGCAGACACAGCGCTATTGTAAACCACGCCGCAGCGCTTTAAACGTCCAGCTTTTATGGCGTTAACAATGGAAGGGGGTCCTACGCTTAGCATGCTTTCTTTTTTGCTTAAAGTACAAATAAAACAAAAGAGGGGAAAAAAAAAAGGATGTTTCTTAAGGTTTAGGAGAACTCAATCATAAAACCATCCATCAGGTGTAACTAGCAGTGCCTTCACCTGCACTCTTAGTGCCGAAGCAAAGCACAGGGTTGCATCGTGCTGTAGCTGTTTTACGTCTCCTGGCAACCACATCCCCCAGTGGGAACTTTACCCTGTGAAAGAAATCGGCTTAGTGAACACAAAAGCTGTCTGCAGTGCCCTGACAGCCAGCCCTGAAAGGAAGAATGAGGTTCTGCTCAGTTCTCAAAGGCTTCTTTATGCAAAAAAATGCCTTGAGAATCAGCAAAAACGATGAATCATGTCATCATGATGTTGGCAGCTCTCAATGACTTTGCATACAAATATGCTACTTTATTGAAAGTCCTGAGAAATGCTCTGATTGCAGAAGGTGAAGCATTAGTATGCCTGGCAGGGATACAGAGAAACCACAGCAAGCCAGAACTTGCATTTCATTATGGGCACAAACACATACATTATATACATAAAATATATATGTGCAGATGAACACACTCCTAGAACTTCACTCAGATTTGGTTCCTGTGGAGTTGGGCCGGGGATTAACTCAATTCACTATATCTAGCTACCACCATAATCTTCTCAACAAGGTTGAACACAAAAATCTCGTCTGAGTTACAAAGAAAGCAGCCCATCCCTTTTACCTATTTTGTTAAAAGCTTACAGCTCAAAGAACAGGAGATAGCCAGAAATGGAAAAAGATGCTCCATCTACCAGTACATCACAATAAAATAGACAAGGCAGGACCTTCTCTCTCTAATTTTAAATGAGGTTTAACTTTTGAGAAGATAGAGGCTGTGCTCAAATAGCATGGTAAGAAATACAATGTGAATACAATAAGGTGATTATCAGCTCCTGGACTCTTCCAGTCCAGAGCCACAGAGGTGATCATATCACACATATGACAGCAAAAACAATAATGTGATTTAATCAAGTACAAAGTAGAATCAAATTTAGAATTGAAAGAAAATTCAGAAACCACTTGTAGATATCTTGAAGAGAAATGGCAGAAAAGATCTCAAGGGACTCAAAATCTTTAGTTTTCTACCCTTTTGGACTCAGATCTCTTTAGGCACTAGAATGGAAAAATATATATTTTGGTTTCATCTTCAAAATATATTCTATGTGTAAACTAATAACTAGAAAGTGGACCTCTACTTCCCAGATGATTACAATATGCCACTTTCAGCATACTGTAATTGACTTGCCTTTCAGAGATGAAGCTCATGTGGCTATCACCTGGTGCCCTTTGAAAGGCATCAGCAAATACTGTCATCCAGCTCCCTTTAAAATAAGATTTCAAATTAAATACTAGAAAGTAGTCAGTTTTATTTAAAACAGAACACAAAATTAATATCTGCTATTTTCCACTGAGTAAAGCAATGATGAGTCTTGCAGAATTAGTCACTGGTCCTGCAGTCTGCCCCTAGCCCTCTTCAGGATTAAGCTTCATGTGATGTGTGATGCCATTTGTGTCATTTCTTGTAACATGTTTGCCTCCTTCCTATTTTGATCTAAGTTTTTACAGCTAAAGAGAGTATTTGTCCACATTGACCTGGACCCACTTTCCAGAGAATGCAATGGGAATCTCTTGTGAATTGGTCTGTGGGTTCAGCCCGATGTTCAGGAATTCCTGACTACTGTTTGGTAACAATATTTTCAAGCATCTTCCCCCAGGGCTCCTTCCCAAGGACCTAGCTGGAAGACAGTTACCAAAAACAAGGAAACAAACATGCTTCAACTGCAGCTCTTCTGAAACACAGAGGGATACTGTGGTGTCTCAACAGGGTTATCCCTCTGTCATGACAGGTGCAGACAACACCGTTCCCCATTACATTGGCTCTTACTGCTCCTTGTGCGGCGCTTGCAAAGAAAGGAGAGCTGTGAATTAGCAAGGTTTTGGCATTTCATATTTCTCACTACGCAATGTAAGAAGTTTTAACAGTGTGTCTTCAGAAGGCTGTACGGAGCAAAGTGAAGCCAGGACTTAGCTAATCTGAGGTGAATTTAAACATGTAATACAGAGAGGAATAACTTAACACCCCGCATCACCAGCACTCCATGGCAGGAGAGTGGTGAAGAGTAAGAAAGAAAGGAGGAAAACCTGAGACACAGGAAGAAGCATCTGACCAGAAGAGCCAACCTAGATAGCCGCAGTTGTCACCTTCAATGGCACATCGTAGCTCTGTAGGAACGTGCAGCATGTTAGCCCTGAAGAAGTGACAAGGTCTGACCAGTTAACGTCAGAAGGTAGTGGAGATGTGCAGAATTTGAGAACCTACAATTAAGTGAAACTTCAAAAATGTGCATTGTGTTTTGCCTTCTTCAAAAATTCTTTTACAATATTGTTGGTGTTTTTTTTTTTTAAATAACTATCTTCCTTCACTTTTAAGACTTACAAAGTGAGTATTCAAAGTCAGCCCTGAAGCTAAAGGGCACCTCCAGTCTTGCAGTATCCAGAACATAATAGATTTGGCTAGGGCAGCCCAAGAGTAACAGGCACTAGTGTCTAGTCTAAAATCGATAATGCAAGTGCAAGGGGCGGCTCTAGGGGCTTCCTCACATAAGCAATGCCATGTGGGAAACGTTTTGGTCTTGAGCAGGGAAAGCATCATGAGAGAACAAAAAACAGTGGTTTTAAAGTGGTACTTCAGGAGAGCACAGGCAACTGATTCCAAGAGGCATAAGGCCCATCGCATAGTGCACCATGTACACTTACGTGGTCAAATATGTTAGAAATCAGAGCTCTCCCCAGACCAACTATGTACTTGTTTTCACCTTGTAGGAATAATCACTCCTGTGTAGCCTGGACCATTTTTCTTCAGAGGCAGAAGTTTCTGTGTTTTCACTGGGGTCTAAGAAAGAGGAGTTATTTAAAGGTAACTGAGCCTGCAGTCCTGACATCAGCTTAAAATAAGTTATTAAATCAAGATGGCAATATCAAAAATTGCAGAAGTGCTTCCAGTTCTACCATAACTTTCCAGTAAACTGATATGTTCATTCACCAGACTAGTCTTGTTCTGACTTCACGATCTGCTCTCCCATACTTTCTCTCTCAGAAGCCTTGCTGCTGTGGGACACAGGGTCCCCTCCGAAAGGCCTCTGCTCTCTTGGCATACCAAGTCAGGATTCAAATAATATCTCTTAAAATAACCGTATAAAATTATGTGAGACATGTAGGGTTAGATTTCATTATCCTTCCACAGGATGCAAAGGTCTTTGATCTTTGAATATGCCTAGAAATAAAAGGAACTAATTAAGAAGTGAGCTATTTAGCAATACAAGAGCAGCAAGATTTAGACCTTCATCTGTAGCGGCAGCATGGAAAACAAACCTAGAAAAGCCTACACACTTTCCAGTAAGCGTCACCTGTAACAGTTCACTAACAGGGAGCAGACACCTTCTTCATTCATGGTAGTCCTTATGGCTGGCAGGATGCCACCATGGTCAGAGATGATAAAGGACATTTTACAATTGGTATATTTGTTACAGCTCACCAAGAATGGTTGCCAAGCCCCAGTTCAGCTTACTGTCATTGTTCACAGTTCAGTTGTATGAGTCATGTCTCCCACTCACCACTCGTATCCCCACTATTACCTTCAAAGCCTGCCTCCAGCTTCCTGACACTTGCTTCCACTGCACCCTCTGTCTCCCATAATTAATGAACTAGAATATCATCCATCCGGTCTTCTGCTCGGAACACAACTTGTGTATCCAGCAGACAGAGGAAAGAACAGTGGAAATCCATTCCACCAAAGCATCCTTGAGTCTTACACTCCATGTCAAAATTTCACCTTTGCTTAATCCCCTGTAATCCAGTGGTCTCTAATTAAAAAGATAGCCGAGCACATCTCATTTTTAATTTATTCTATTTTAAATGGAATTGCTCAGAGTATGTCATAGTAATGTTAGCTCTTACACAGAAGACTTCTATTACTTTTTCCTGCAGAGTGTGCTGAGCTCCTGGCCATTCTGTTTTGGTGCTTTATCTAGAGTCCTCCCATTCATACAGCAGATAAAAGTATCCAAGTTTCAACAGAAAAGACATAATGCAGGGCAGGTTATGTCTCCATTAATGAAGAGCAATGTGCATCAATATGTGAAATATGTCAACTGAGACAAAAAAATACGTCTTCTCAGCCTTTTGAATGTCAATATTTAGAGTGCATTTTGACTCACTAAGCAATAGCCAAGCAATTCCCTTCACGTCAGTAGGATTCTCCTGTTATATCTGAGCTCTTAATTGGGCAACCCAGTAATGCAGAAGTCATAACTAATGTACATCCTAATTAGCTTCTGGAAGCTACGCACATATTAACAAATAGCATGGACCTGTAGGAGGGGCCATGTGAAGTGCAAGAGTAGCTGAAGGTATGACATACACACCGCATATATTTCAGGTTGAGGTTACAGAGAACGAGGTCTGATCTGGTCCAACAGACTGAATGGTCACCAACAACAGAGAGGATGGATGCTCTCCTATGGGAACACCTTCTGGTTTAGGTTGGCCTAAAGGTAACCCAGTTTGTGCACTCTGAAAGTGCTCCGCAGTGTAAAGACAAGCATAGTAAGAGGTGGCAGTATGGAGATTCATTTCAGAAGGATGCTCCTCATTTGTATTCAAGCATCATGTGGAAGCACCCTAGGTGTGTTTGGCTCTCAGATAAACCTTCAGTCAGGTTTATCATCTGTACACAAAAAATGCCTAGCTCCTCCTCTCTCAATACAAGGGTATTTAACATGCATACTTCTATTTTCTACCTATAAGATGGTATTTCTTGGCAGAATGTACAGAGGGGGCACCTGTTATTAAATCACTGGAATCACATCAAGAACTGAGTCAGAGCTTCTGAAGCCCAAGCAATCTAAGGCAAAAGCACTAACTCCAAGTAGTCTGTTTGCTTGACTCCTTACAGAGTGTTTCCTCACCTCCTTACTGCAAAGTCCACGACTTCATTGGCTCTGGCTTTCTAAAAAAAATTGGACTTCAAGTTAGCAGGGTAGGGAGAAGGATTCTGTCATTCTTTCACTTACACTTCATGAAGAATAGGAACCTGCATTTTACATGTTGCAAATCACTGGAAGTGATTATACCAATATTAGGGTCGTACATTTCACCCAGACTTCAGTACTACAGTACAAACACACCTGTGATTCATGTATTGTATGAGATGTGTTGTTATATACAAGCACACATATCTACATACACCAATAATTGTAGAAAGAGCAGTTTTTAAAGTCATCCAGCCCACACCTCAGTATATACTAACACATAATAATTAACATACTCTTTCTATATGCATATAAAAATACAAAAATACACCTATACACAAATTTTACATATATAGAAGCATGAACATGTGCGTGCACATGTATTTAAAATACAGAGACACTAAAGCTATGGCAAGGGATTCTGGTAACTAAGGAACAGTTCATATCTCCTAATGATCATGCAAAAGTTTATCCAGACAAGTGACTGATTTCTGAAAAACAAACTAAACAAAATGAGTTCTGTTCATTATGAGAAGCAAAAGATATCAAGAAGCTGATTTATCAATTCTGCCAGTACAACAAACAAGCAATCTGTAAAAAAAAACCTCTTTGAAAATTATGAAGCTCAGTGAAGAGAATACAAATACAGTTGTGTGAACTTACCTACACAGGCAGAGTTTTCAGGCTTTAATCTGTATCCATTAGGACAGTTCCAGTGCTGCAGAGCTGAGAGGCTGACAAAACCAATTTTAAAAACCACTGGCAAAAAAGCGACAAGGAAGAGAAACATAATATCGAGGGGTTTTTGAACTATCACTAGAGAAAAACGAGCTTGTATTAAGTCATATCCAGGACAAGATGAGCATGTGTAATCCCAAAAGGTTTCTGCAATCTCCCACTTTACACTCAGACATCTTATCGCAACACCAAGTTTTATCTTTGCCTTGCTTTTCTTGTTACTTTAGCCCTTACTGTGTCTGACTACAACCTTGAAGAAATTCCTGGGAGATTTCTTCCTCACACACGTCTTCCTTTTTTTTTTTCTCTCTCTCTCTCTGCTTCGTTTCTTCTTTTTTTTTTTTCTTTTTTGGAAGCCAAGTATGAAATGCCTGACACTCTTGCCACAAATTTAACAGCTTGAAAGTAACGCTCACAAGGATCACTGCAGATTTCCTCTTAACAAGTAAAGCTGCTGTTTAAATCCTAAAAGCAGCAAATTTGGAAAACTCTTCACCACAGCCCTCAGTCGAGTCCAGGGAGCGAGACCTCCAGGTACCGTCCTTCTCCAAAACGCAGTTGCTTTTTACATGCAAACTTGGACAGACTCCTCTTTTCTTTTTAAAGCTCTGCTTGCCCCACCTCTTCTCTTTTTAGTACCACTTGAGTGAACCCTGTGTTTGCAAATAGTAATGTGGTCAGTTCCTTACTACAGGGAACGGAGCCAGAATGCAGATACCCAGCCACCCGTAATAAATACAGTCTATTTAGAAAAGCAGCCCCTCCTGCTTGAGAAGTACCTGTGGTATGCCAGCTAAGTTTTTTTTCTCCGAGATTGTAGGCAGGTTTATACCATGCCTGTTCAATCATGATCAGTTGCATTCATTTTAAAATTGTTCTGTTTTACCACCAGAAAGAAACTTTGTCATCAAAACATTTTGTGCAAAAAAGGGAAAAAAAATGCCTTTGATTTCTCCTATATATATTTCAAATGGAAATATAAATTGGCTTAAGGTCAAGTTCAGATCTAGCGTATGTGCTTGTAATTCTGATTTCAAAAACATTGCAGTCGTTTATATGCACACATCGGTGCTGTGAGAGGCTACTGATGTGATGCCTGTTTTGCTGAGGTATACAAACTAGAGAAATATAGGGCGCATCGAGCTCATAATTCATCCAGTACTGAAAAAAAAAAAATTCATTTTTACTGGTTCTTTGGTTCAGACCAGCAAAGCTCTAGATCACAAGCATAAGTGATTTGCTGAGTTTTGAATGTGCTGAGATTTCAGCTGGTGTTTAAAGGGTTGACTGCACCAGGCTTTGCTGAGCTAACTACTGTAAGACATTCTGGTTCTGTTGCTTATTTCTTTCCTTTTTTTTTTTTTTTTTTAATTACTGTAGTGTTGTGCTAGAATAAATACCAACACAACAGCTGGATACAGCAGCAGCATCACATGCTAACCTACAGCTGTACAAGTTCCGTCTCTGGGAATTTCCCTCTCCCTTATTTGCCTGAATCGATAAGAGTCCAGACTTGCACTCTGAGAAAATAAGAAGCATGAAACCTGATTATAAGTTGGGCCATCCTCCATTAAAAGCAACTGTTTCTTGATGTTTCTGTCTGTGTGTAGGCACATTCTGCTCCCTCAGTCTTCACTGCTACAGCTAATGAAATCCGGACTGGCAAGTGGCAGCCACGTTTCCATATATTCTGTTCAGAACTGAGGCTCTGTTCTGCATGCTATAAAATACAATAACAGTAATGTAAATTATGCAGGGCCAGACTCATGCCAAACAGCATTTGCTTCTCTAAATAGTCCCCTGGAACACAAAAGGGCAACCAATGCGAAAGCGCAGTATAATGCCATCCCATCTAGGATTACAGGATCCTGCCCAGGAGCTGTGGTATGTTCCACGTGAACCTCTTGGACTAATTCTGCAGCCCTCGGTTCCTCCTCACACAATTTTCTTCAGTGTTCAAGCTGGGAGCACGCAACCTAAACAGCTCAAAAGGAATGTGTCACTTCTTTGTGAGGAACCACCAGCAGAGTGTTTGCTGGACCGTGAGGGTGGCCGTCCCCACACAGCCCTGACCTCTTCCAGGGCAGACTCAAACTTACTGAAGGAGACAAAGTGAATAAGTTCTCCTATTAAAACCCAGAAGCAATTTCTGTCTTACTCACATTCTTTCAATCTCTCATTTACACACATTGTCTCCTCTCAACATCTCCCTCAATCTCCCTCCGGTCTGTTTCCTTTTTTTGCCTTTACTCAAAACAATCAAAGGCATGTCCCAGAATTTCTCTTTTTTCTCTAAAGTAAAAGTGAAGACAGAACTGTCTGACATGCCAATACCTAACTAACTTCTCAAACATACAGCTTTTCAGTACCACACAGAATTCCTTCAGCCTAAATTCATCCAGCGTTCAAGAAGTTGTTCAAATGCATTTCTACAAAGCACACTATTGTGCACACCTATAGGTACTACGTACAGCAATTTACTTGCATTCATACGATAAATTAGACTAAAATAGCACGGTACTCTCATCTGTAGGGCTCACCACAGAATCGGAGCAAATTATCTTCAAATCATCTGCCCCAGTATGTCAAATGCAAAGAACTAAGTTTAATTTGACCTTCTAACTCAAAAGACTGATGACCTAAAAACAAATAAACATTTTAGTCCTTTCTGTTGGGCTTTCTGCTATCTCAGCTGGCTTCTTTGGAAAGCTTTCTTTGCCAAAGTTGGTAAAGACCATTGGTAAAGACCAGCTAGCAATTCAACGGAGGGGGTCTTCTCTGCTACCTTGGCAGAGAGCTGCTGTTACGTAGTTCAAGGACAATATGTTCTGCTTGTTTCTAAACTGTGAAGGAAACAGAGCCCTACCTCAG